AGGGAGCTCGATGCAGGGCTCGATCCCAGGACCCTGGGATCATGACCGGAGCCACCCAGGCGCCCAATAAATAAAATCTTTAAAAATAAATGAATAAATAAGATTTAAATTCAATTAATTAACATATAGTGTATTATTAGTTTCAGAGGTAGAATTTAGTGATTCATCAAGTCTTACATAATACCCAATGCTCATTACATCATGTGCCCTCCTAATGGTGTCTGTCTCTTGGTCACAGCTCAGGTCTTTTTTTTTTTTTTTAAAGATTTTATTTGAGAGAGAGAGCACAAGCAGGAAAAGTGGCAGGCAGAGGGAGACGCAGGCTCCTGGCTGAGCAAGGAGCCCAAGTCTGGGCTCAATCCCAAGACCCTGAGATCATGACCTGAGCTGAAGGCAGCCACTTAACCGAGACACCCAGGCTCTGCATCAGCTCAGGTCTTGATCAAGGTCATGAGTAGTCTATTTAAAAATAAAATATATCCTGGACAGCAACTATGTTGCTTATAAGGATTAACCCCAACATATCCATTATGGAGTACAAGGCTTTGAAACTGAAAGCACAGTAACAGCCAGGAAAAAGGGGGGGGGGGACAAAATGTTAAGCAGTTAAATAGTTTCCACCACACAGGCGCCCCCGCCCCCCCAGGACTCCAAAAATTATTCATGTTTAATTATGCAACTTAAATTTACCTACATGCCTCACTCTAGGTCTGCACTGTCCAGTCTGGTTGTCTCAGGCTATGTGGGACTGGCTATTGATAAGTCAAAGTTGGGATGTGTTAAAACATACATCCTGGGTCTTAAAAATATGTAAAATCTTTAAAAAATATATTGTATTATTTATTTTTAAAGATTTATTTATTTGACAGAGACAGACACAGCAAGAGAGGGAACACAAGCAGGGTGAGTGGGAGAGGGAGAAGCAGGCTTCCCGCTGAGCAGGGAGCCCGATGTGGGCTTGATCCCAGAATGCTGGGATCATGACCTGAGCAGAAGGCAGATGCTTAACCAACTGAGCCTCAAAATTAACTGATTACCTGTTCAATTATTTTAGATATTGTAAAGTTAGTTTCATTTGTTTAAACTTGGCTATTACAGTGTTTTAAATTACTGCTTTAGATGAGTGCAGGATGGATCATATCACTCATATATGGCCAGCACCTCAAATACTAAGGAAAAACACAGCAAGCAGTTAATGTAGTGCTTTCATTTCCACACTGCCTTTTAGAGATGGAGCCCCATATTGGGCTGCTCCATGCTCCGCGGGAAGCCTGCTTCTCCCTCTCCCACTACCCCCTGCTTGTGTTCCCTGTCAAATAAATAAAAAATCTTTACAAAAAAAATTTTTTTGGATTTTATTTATTCATTTCAGACAGTGCGTGAGCACCCATGTGAGCAGGGGGTAGGGGCAGAAAAGGGAGAAGCAGATTCCCTTGCTGAGCAGGGAGCCTAACGCAGGGCTAGATCCCAAGACCCTGAGGATCATGACCTGAGCAGAAGGCAGACGCTTAACCAACAGAGCCACCCGGGTGCCCCAGCCCATGAAAACTTCTTAAAAGATTTTGAGAGAGAGACACAGCGAGAGAGGGAACACAAGCAAAAGGAGTGGGAGAGGGAGAAGCAAGCTTCCCGCTGAGCAGGGAGCCTGATGCGGGGCTCGATCCATCATGACCTGAGCTGAAGACAGACGCTTAATGACTGAGCCACCCACGCGTCCTGCCCATGAAAATTTCTAATGAAATTGATTTAAGATACAGCTAACCTGAAAAATTTGAACCGTGGGGACTCCAGAATGAAAAAAGTGTCATTCCCCCAGAAACTTGACTTTGTCACTGAAGCATGATGAAGAGACATTACTTCATAAAATAATTGGCTCTAGGAAAGCGTAATTTATTTTTTATTTATTTAAAGATTTTATTTGACAGAGAGAGCACAAGCAGAGGGAGAGAGAGGGAGAAGCAGGCTCCCTGCTGAGCAAGGAGCCCGATGTGGGACTCGATCCTAGGGCCCTGGGATCATGACCCGGGCCGAAGGCAGACACTTAACCAACTGAACCACCCAGGCGTCCCTAGGAAAGCATAATTTAAACATTTACCAAAATACTTAAAAAAAAAATCTTATAGGGGCACCTGGGTGGCTCAGTTAAGCATCTGCCTTCGGCTCGGGTCATGGTCCCAGGGTCCTGGGATCGAGCCCCGCATCGGGCTCCCTGCTCTGCGGGAAGCCTGCTTCTCCCTCTCCCACTCCCCCTGCTTGTGTTCCTGCTCTTGCTGTCAAATAAAATCTTTAAAAAAAAAAAAAATCTAATACAACCACACATCATTTAACACAAAACATGTCCAATAAGCAAGTTGGCCAGACTTATGAACTCATTTTAAAAAGAAAAGTGTAACAGGCACCTGGGTTGCTCAGTTGGTTGTCTTCTGTTTCTGCTAAGGTCATGATCTCATGTGTTGTGGTAGAGCCCCGTGTCAGGCTCTGCACTCAGCAAGGGGACTGCTTGTGAAGGATTCTCTCCCTCTGTCCCTCCCCCAATTGTCTCTCTCAAAATAAATTTAAAAAATAAAGGTGTTAAGTTTTACCATTAAGTACACTTCCCTTGTATTGTGCTAATACAATGTGGAGTTGTAGGATTTTTCTAGGAAAAGGTGAATCGTGAATTTTGTAGTAATAAAAGCAAATGAATTTTAAGTTCTGTAGTCCCCTCCCTCCACCAAATTTATGCCCTATTTAACTTAGTGACAAAGTGATTTTCTAGTATTTTAGTACTTTGTGCTACTGAAGACTTTAAGGATTTAATGAGCAAAGGGCATACCAAGAACTTGTAATAAGGCACTTTATTAAAATAAAAGTGCTTACATCCCTTTAATGTATTAATCTATTTCCTGAATAACATGGAATAATGAACAAATACTGTACACCAAGTCTGTTCCTTACAGTAGTAGGAAAACAGTATTATAATAAGTTTGTTTACTCCTCCCAACTCCCTTTTACAGTTTTGCTCACCATGGTATTACCTAGAGCAGTTAACTGTTCTTAAAAAAAAAAAAAAAAAAAGGAATTTCTACCTAGTGTTCTCTAATAGCAATTGCAAAATGCTACAAAAAATTATGAAACAAATTCAAATAAGAATTCCAGGTAACTTAAATTAACACCAGTGTTGAGAAAACCATTTTTATTGTCATCACCACCCAGCGTATTTGTGCTGGTTATGTACCAAATGGCCAGATCTTCTAAAGAACATCTACATAACATTTCTTTCATGTTTCAAGAGATGAAAATAACTGTACAAGGTTAAGTACAAAAGTACACAAGACAGCGGACACGAAATATCCATGTATGAGATTTTATCCCACCTGCAGCTTTTATATATTTGAAAAGTAGAATTCATGAACTAAAAAATATTGTCCTTCTATAGTCCTGTCAAGTTTAATGGAGGTGTGTTTAACCTGATTACAACACTAACACCAGTATCACTGATCTGATATTTACAAAAAATCGTATTTTTCAATAAATTAAAGTCAATGCAACACCCATGCAAGCTAGAATGCTAGCTGTTTGGTGAACAAGGACCTGACATCAGAACCAGAAGTCCATAAAGTCCCAAACATTAAAGTCTGATTTTTTTCAAACTGCATCCATTCCTCGCATTGATGATGTGAAACCCAATCCCATTCCTCTTTGTGTGTGGGTCTGTGATCTTGCCATTTCATACTGAGCATCTAAATTTCTAAATACTTCTTCCTGTTGCTTCAAAGTCTTGTAACTTTCTTCATCAACTGAGCTACATCCAGCTTCATCTTCACTCTAAATTTCAGATAAAAAATATATTATTAAAATAAATGGAAATGAGACTAAGGTGTTCTTCTCAATTGACAGTACCAATAAATCACATTTTTAGGATACGTATTTGCCTTCCATTCATTCATTTAGCACTCATGGAGTGCGAGGCAATGTCTAGGTATTGGGATAAACCAGGATATAACCAAAATCAACTTCATTTTAGTGGGTATGAGGGAGAAAATGTAGAACATACCATTCAATATGTAAGTAAAATCTAGGAGAAAAGCAGAAAATGGGGATGGTGTGCTTGCTATTTTTATCTTATTATTTTTTAAAAGACTTTATTTGAGAGAGAGAGACTGAGACAGAGCATGAGTAGAGAGGAGAGGGAGAAGCTGGGTCTCCACTGAGCAGGGAGCCCTATGCGGGGCTGGATCCCAGGACCCTGGGATCATGACCTGAGCTGAAGGCAGACACTTAAGCAACTGAGCCACCCAGAATACCCGTGCTTGCTATTTTTAAAAAGGCAAATGAGAGAGGACTAAAAAGTTGACATTTGAGCAGAAACAAAAGAAAGGAATGATGCTGGTAGCTAAGAAAAGAATTAGAGCAGGGAAAGGTAGCAGCAAATGCAAAGGTTGTCTGGCAATGTTCCAAAAAAGCCAGTTTAGTGAAGCTTAGTTTAAGCCAAATATCCCTTCAATGAAAAACCAACTCCCTTAAGTAATCAATAAGTTTGTGAACTTTCTTCCAGACTGTTATATGAAATCTAATATGAAATCTGTACATTTCCACTTTATTCAAACAAAACACACACCAAGAAAAACAAAAAACAAAGCCACCAAAAAACCCCAAAAGAACCCTACATCTTTAAAAAAGCTTTCTGGAAACATTAAATATTAAGGTCTGACTCCAAGTACAGTTTTTTTTTTTTTTTTTAAGATTTGTGAAAGAGAGAGAGAGAGAGTGTGCGTGCGCATAAGCACAGGGAGCGGCAGGCAGGGGGAGCAGCAGGTTCCTCACTGAGCCTGATGTGGGACTCGATCCCAGGACCTTGGGATCATGACCTGAGCCCGGCAGACACTTAACCAATTGAGCCGCAACCCAGGCGTCCCTACAGTTAGCTTTAAAGGAGCACTTTTTAAAAAGCAAATTCATTAATTCCCATTTACAATTTCATTTTTATTTACTAAGAAAAGCTTATGATGTAGAAAAAGGTTCATTTAAGGTATAAATAAGTTATAACCAACATTAATTTAAATTTAATAATCCGTACAGTCAGCTAATGATGACAACATAATTCTGTGAAATTAATCTGAAGCACAAAACGAAAAACCACCAGAAAGTACCCAGAGTTCATACATTACTGAAATTAACTTTTAGGGTGAGGACCAATGTTAACCTGAAAATGTTAAGTTAATATGAATTTTAATTCAAAGTGTGTAACTCACCTTAATACCCATTAATTTCCTGAATTTGACATTTTGGTCCTTGTTTCCAAAATTTAACTTTTCCCATATTTCAGCAGACTGGGATTTGTCCTGTAAAGAAACACTGAACTTTTACAATTCATAAAATTTAGCTACGTAATAAAGTCTAAAAGAAATAACATTACAGCATTGTGCCATGCAGTTTATAATTATTTTCAGTTTATAATTATTTTCAGATTTCTATTACAAAGTAATGAAGCAAAGAAATAGAAGTACTTTATAATATATCATTTATGAAAAAGCCTAAACCAAGGAGCATCTTCCCCCATTATAAATGTATGGGAATACTGTCTTTCTTTGAATCGCTACTGGTTTTCTTAGATCAATCTTTTTCCAACACTAAATTGTGGTAAATTAAAACAATCAAGTTTATAGAAAAAAATAAACACAAACCAATCTTTTTCAATCCAGATTTGTTTTCCTAAGCAACTGCTACTTAGGAATAAATGACAAAAGAGGAGAATTAAAGAACTTACCCCTTCTTTCTTGCCTTGCCAAAGCATTTTCCTTTTTTTCTCTTGCTCAGCAAATTTCATTGGATTCACAGCTGCTGGGTTATAATAGCTAGGTACAGCTATTCCGGTCTCTGCCAAAGCTTTAGCCTGCAGGGCAGCCATTTGAGCTGCCATAGCTATCTGAGGAGTTACTTGCGTTCCTGATGCCAACAAGGCAGCAACATTGAGCACAGAACCTCCAGTGGCTGCAGCTGCTGAGAGAGAAGCATAGATTTAAAACTAACCAAAACCAACCTCCTGATTTACAGTAGTGCATTTATATGTAAGAACTAACCTAACAAAAAGGCAGAATACTTTTACCAAAATAATGACGTTAGTTTATAAAGCAATTAACATTTTAGGAAAAATTTATTGAAAATATTTATAAATAGACATTTGTGGATATCATCCCTTATATGTACTAACACTTTACATATCTAAAAATAGTAAGAATTCTACAAATAGTAAAAAGATTTGTGATTTCAAAGAAAATGAATTATGATACTTGTATGTAGCTAAACTTGTAAAAACAAATACTTTTGTATGGTTAAGAGCTTACAAAATGGTTATTTAGACATTAATTTGAAATTCTTAACATTTAAGATATTAAACAAGTATGATGCACATTTAACAAATCCAAAGCCCAAATCCTACAGAAGTTAAATGCCATGCCTGGTATTTCCATTTTAAGTGATTCAGTCAGGAATGGAGTCAATTTTTTGTGAAGAGAAAGACTGTTCTGATTACATATTTTTCTGTTATCCCAGAATATAAGCTTAGAAAGTTCTTTTAATTACTAATACTATGGGAATCCAGTTATGAAAGTTTTGTTCTCACGATGTATTAAAAGTAAAATGGTGGGGGTGCCTGGGTGGCTGAGGCGGTTGAGCTTCCAACTCTTGATTTCAGCTCAGGTCATGATCTCAGGGTTGTGAGATCAAGCCCTGCATTGGGCTCCGAGCTGGGAGTGGAACCTACTTAAGATTCTCTCCCTTCCTCTCCCTCTGCCTCACCCTCCATGCCCCCCATCTAAAATAAATAAATGAATACATAAAGGCAATCTGTACAATTTAATATTTTTTAAAAAATTTATTAAGTAATCTACACCCAATCTAATCACAACCCTGAGATTGAGAGTTGCATTGCTCTACCACCTGAGTCTGCCAGGCATACACAATTTGTACAATTTTTGATTTCAAGTACCGATTTACTAGGAATGTCAAAAAAAAAAAAAAAAAAAAAACACCTTCCAGATTACATCTCATGTAATTCAATAAGCTCTCTCTGATCACCTTCAATCATCCACAGGCAATGTTTGTGTTGTCTAATAACTTGATTTCTTACCCCAGTTCAGTCATTATTTTAATAAACTTAATAAAATCATGACTAAAAGACATGTGCAGTGATGGCTAAAGTGTTATATGAATAAGAACAGTGACTGTTAAAATCAGGCCATCAACCAAGTAAGAAATACATATGCATTGGGCGCCTGGGTGGCTCAGTTGGTTAAGCGACTGCCTTCGGTTCAGGTCATGATCCTGGAGTCTCGGGATTGAGTCCCACCACTGGGCTCCCTGCTCAGCAGGGCGTCTGCTTCTCCCTCTGACCCTCCTCCCTCTCATGCTCTCTGTCTCTCATTCTCTCTCACAAATAAATAAAAAAATCTTAAAAAAAAAATACATATGAAGAATTTATGAGGTATGAAAGTTAACATTAAAAATAAAATATTCACATTTCAGTAATAATAACAGATTTACAGCACTGACAGGTAGCAAGAATCATGGTGATTTTCTTCCTGTATTTTTCTGAGCTTTTCAGATTTTCTACAAAGAAATGTCATACTACCATAGTAAAGAAAATAAACTACCTGCAGCTATTTCTTGTTGTTTTTGTTTTTCAACCATTTCCTTTTCTCGCTGTTCTTGTAATTTCTTTGCTCTTTCCAACCTGTCAAAGACAATTTTAATAAATTTAAAATAATGCTCAATATAAAACCCCTATTTATCTTTGTATTTCTCCACATGTATAGAAACGAAACACTTAACATAGAATTTTAAATTAGGACCAACACAAATTGGTATCTGTATGTGGGGAAAAAAAGCATTCAGTCTTAAGATAGTCACAGTTAAAGAGTATTTCAATAATGGTTTTAAACATTTTTAAATTCATGGAATAGCCAAAAAACTGGAATAGCTTTTACACACAGTTCCCACAGAGAATAGTTTTAAAAAATAAAAATTATTCAACGCTTATCAGTGTTGGTTATAGCAGTAAGGATAAAATTACATCTTGCAAATGACATATTGAGAACTGAGTAAGTCTTAGGGTACGTTAAATGCAGTAAACAATGTTTACAGAATTACCTACATGCTTCTTGGGGGAAGCGGATATAGGATAAGGCCAATCAAAACATAACAATTACGACTTTCGTATTTAAACAGACTTTATCATAGCCTTAAATTAGTAAAAATTAAAAAGCCGAAAGTAAAAAAGGGGCAAATAAACCCTATTTGCCATTCTCTATAATTTAATAAAATGGGGGAAAATTATTAGGGAATTAACTTTTAGCAGCTTAAGAAATTTATCATTTGCAATGGAACTAGAAATATGAAACACAAATTCATCCTCAGACAAAAGAGACTGTAGTTCACACTAAATTTACAATAGGCATATATTAAACGTACTGTCATTATCTACTTCTTATACAGCAAATTGTTAATATCATCTTCATGAGTTCCTGAAAGAGAAACCTCTTTTCTTCAAGACTCCTTGATTTCCCAATCGTAAGTTAAAAGCCAACCCCTTCCTCCTCTACTGTGGTATAAAGGGGCAAAGATTAAGGAAAAGGTTTTTTGTTTTGGGGTACTATGGGTAGGAAAATGGCATCAGTTTTAACTGCTGAATTTACATAAAATGAATAAAACAATATAATTTTATTCCCTTTTATTGAGCACACATGCAAGAAAGACACAGTACAGACGATTTTGTCCTTGGGAATAAGCTTCTGATTAGGTGTAACATTAAAATGTTGGTACACAGATATTAAAACTATTTTCAAAGCAGTTCAAAAATTGTCCTTATTTATGGGGCGCCTGGGTGGCTCAGTTGTTAAGCGTCTGCCTTCGGCTCTGGTCATGATCCCAGGGTCCTGGGATCGAGCCCTGCATCGGGGTCCCTGCTCAGCAGAAAGCCTGCTTCTCCCTCTGCCACTCCCCCTGCTTGTGTTCCTGCTCTAATAAACAAATAAAATCTTAAAAAAAAAAAGAAAAAAATTGTCCTTACTTAAAAACAAAAAAGGAACAACAACAAAAGATCTATATACCGTAGTATATTATTAACAAAAGATCTGCCTTCAAATTTCAAAGTAGCCAAGAAGCAATCTGGTATTTCTTAAAAGAGTTATTTCATGTAAACTTGTCATCTGAAAACCACTAAGTAGATTATTTTTTTAAGTTAAAGTTTTAGATGCTAGTAATAGCTTCAACTTCAATAAAAGCCAAAAATTAAAGCGCAATGAACTTATAAAGAATAGACTTTAGGGCTTAAAAAAAAATACTGGTCAGACTTAATAGACCATTCTTAATTACTTCACATATAATAAATTATTTCTTAATTCTGATGATTTTAGTTTCACAAACAAAAGTATGATTCACTAATATTGATGCGTATTTAAAATGGCCATTGCAGGTTGGAATTAACACCATTCACTAAGGTGAATGGAATGAAGAAGGGGCGAGCTCACACCTTTGCTGCTGCTGCTGTTCAGCTGGAGTTTCTGCCAGGCTGGGTTCACAGGGCAGCAACCCATCAGGTTACATTGTGATAACTGTATTTTTGTAATGAAAAAAAAATACAAACTCAATTTCATAAGGAAAAAACCCCAAAATCAAGAGTATAGTTTTCAGAATATGGGAAAACCTGAAAGCAAGCACTTGGATTTTACTTTACTTCTTGCCTCTCTATATGAGGCAGTTCTTTCAACAGTTTTGCACATTTCAGCCAGACAGCCCTGTATGTAGTCCCACAATTACCAGAGAACATCTTTGAAAAGCTTACAGAATTAAAACATAAAACAATCTCCCTGTTATCAGCAGTAAAATTGACAAGATCAAACAAATCACCTTGTAATGTTTATTATTTGCCACCTTCAAAGTAAGAAACCTGTTGACAGAATTGTTTCAGACTTTGTCTTCTTGAAGAAGAAAAACAAAACGACAATGCAATTTCAGAGGCCAAATTTAAGAGTTCCTGAATCAGATTTAAGATTTCTAAAAAAAGTTTCTATTGCAAACCAAACATATTTAGGAGCCTAAATTTGAGAAAAATGAATCAGTTAATCATGAAGGAAAACAGAAACTGTTGCAGACATCGTAATCTTTCCAGTTGCACAAATGGGTAAATGTTTAAAATGAGAATTAACAAACTACTTAGTACTAGATCAAAATTGGCACAGTTATATTTAACTAGTTGACTTAAACTCTGAAAGCATTCACTTTGTCCACAGAATTGAGTATCTACTTCAAATTGAAAAGGAAAAATGCATCAAATAGAAAATATACCCACCTCCTAGCTAAAGCTTCTTGTGCATCCATTGCTGTGTTTCTGCCTCTGAAGGGAGGTGGACTGGGAGTTCGGCTTAAACTTCTGCTAAATCTTCTAGGTTTTTCAATTCTCTTCTTTCTATCTCTGTAATAAATCATATTTCACATGTTGCAATATTGCAAAGCAGTAATAATTAGTTCATTTTATCAAAATCAATTATATTTACAGAGGTTTAACAAAAGTGCAAGCAGCAGACAACATATTTCAGACCCTTTCCTTTCCACCTCTGTCCTACAACTTCCACAGGTATGGAAGGTTCCTTGAATATGCTATTTTTCTGTAAGTTCATTTAACGTTCCCTGTTACAGATAGACTATTTAAAATGTTTTCCAATCTTTTGCTATTACACCCAATGTTGCAAAGACTAGCCTTGAACATCAATCATTTTATATTCATGTAGGTCAGTATGTAGGATAAACCCCTAGTAGTGAGATCCATAGTTTAAACGTTCCTAGTATTTTAATCTACAATGAATTTGTAAAGGTCAAAAAAAAAAATCCCAAGCACAAAATCAGTAAAACAAAAGAATGAGGAAAACGAAAGATAAAAAACAGTAAGCACTGAGCAGAATAAAACAGAGTAGCAGTGGTCAAAACTAGAAATGCCATAAAAATAAAAATAAAAAAACTAGAAATACCAGAAATAATGGCCCATATACCCAGATGGAGAATAAAATATTAATGATAATGGTAAAATTATCATTTACCCACATGCACTAAAATCCTACCCGGTAAAGCTCAAATTAGTAAACTACTAAAAGCTAAACTATTAATTAAACTTGGGGCACCTGGGTGGCTCAGTTGTTAAGTGTCTGCCTTCGGTTCAGGTCATGATCCCAGGGTCCTGGGATCGAGCCCCGCATCGGGCTCCCTGCTCCGCGGGAAGCCTGCTTCTCCCTCTCCCACTCCCCCTGCTTGTGTTCCCTCTCTCACTGTCTCTCTCTCTGTCAAATAAAATAAAAAAAAACAACTTAAAAACTGATCAATAGCAGCTGTTTCTGCCCACGGGTCCTGTCCCTGTGTTTTTCAAGATTTTATTTGTTTATCTGACAGAGAGCGAGAGAGCACAAGCAGGGGGAGCAGCAGAGGGAGAGGGAGAAGCAGGCTCCCTGCTGAGCAGGAAGCTCGATGTGGAGCTCGATGCCAGGACCCTGGGACCATGACCTGAGCGGAAGACAGATGCTTAACGACTGAGCCACCCGGGCGCCTCTCCCCTTTTAAAAAGATTTTATTTGACAGAGACACAGCTAGAGAGGGAACACAAGCAGGGGGAGTGGGAGAGGGAGAAGCAGGCTTCCCGCGGAGCAGGGAGCCCGATGCGGGGCTCGATCCCAGGACCCTGGGATCATGACCTGAGCAGAGAGCAGACACTTAATGACTGAGCCACCCGGGGGCCCTAGCTGTCCCTGTGCTTTAATAAAACCACCATTTTGGGGGCACCTGGGTGGCTCAATTAGTTAAGCATCTGCCTTCGGGTCAGGACATGATCCCAGGGTCCTGGAATAGAGCCCCTTGCTCAGCAAGGAGTCTGCTCTCCTTCTCCCCTATCTCCTGCGCGCACACACTCTCTCACTCAAATAAATGAAAATCTAAAAAACAACCCATTTGCACCCAAAACCCCAAACAAAAAACCTGATAAACAAGAGATAAGTCAATTAACTGTAATAAACGTAGTCTATCTGTATTTCAGTCTTTATAGATTAACTTGAGCAACAAATTAACAAAAAAGTTTTCCATTATTTAATATCAGTATCTGTGCATATGTACTATTAATAATTAAGTACAGACTAAATATATTGATTATTGAAAATTTTTCTCTTCTGCTCTTTATTGTACTTCTGTCTCAACAAATTAAAGTCTCCTCTCAATCAAGATAGGTTTGAATTAAGCTCATCTTTCTGAATACCTGAAACAGCATATACAGTATGGTGGGTTAAGCACATATATTGACTTTGATTCAGGCATACTTGGGACTTGGTCCTGACAGTCCCATTTAATAACTGATTTGAGGCTTCTTAGGCAAGTTACTTAAGCTCTCTAAGCCCTATGGTCTTAACTCACAAAACAGTTGTTTTGAGAATTAAATGAGCTAGTACATGGAAAGAGCTGTGACATAACACACAGCACATGTTAGGCATGCAGTAAGTGTAAACTACTGATTATACACAACATAATTCAACATCCAAAACAACTGAAGTAATTTTAATAGCGACTATTTCGACCTGCGCTTCACAGAAGATCTGATTAAATGAGTATCTGTAAGAATGCTAAAATATTTTATAACTCATAAATAAAATTCTGACCCACAATTCTGATATTCTCAGATTGAGGGAAGATAAACAGACCCTGTGAGGGAGCCACTGGATTTTATTCAAAATGATGAATACTTACCGACTTCTACTCCTTGTTCTACTTCTGCTTCTACTCCTATGCCTGTGTCTTGATCTTGAGCGGGAACGAGATCGGATCCGACGTTTTCTTTCCCTGCTTCTGGATCGTGACTTCTTCCTCTCTCTGCTTCTGGATCTTGACTTCTTCCGCTCCCTACTCCTGGATCGCGACTTCTTCCGCTCTCTGCTTCTACTACGATGACGCCTGAAATTAACACACACAAATGTGTAGTTATTTAGAGCTGCGTCTTTTCAAGTTACAGACATTATGAATTATCTGCAGTATGTGCTGTCAAGCCAGGCAATAAACTATTCTGTATTGTGTATAGAAAGGCTAATTGAGGCTTCCAAGGGAAGAAGTTAAAACAACTGATGTCTCAGAGGGAACACAATAAAGCTACATGTTAAAAATGCAATGCATCCTAACCCAACTTAAAATTCTGTTTAATAGTTTGAAACCTATTACTGCCTTATCGAAGTATTTATGCAACTTAAAAGATGACAAGTTATCCTACTAACAAAAAATTTTGACCCAATCTGATACACCATTTATGTAATCCCACAGAAAATTCCAAACATACATTAAACACTGGCTTCTTTTTACAAAAGTCCCAGAAGTTTTCAATACCACAAAGGAAAATCTAAATTAGAGTTTAGCAGCAAACAAATCCTACACTGACAATGTAAAAGGATTGTCATATTGACTTAAACTAAGTCAGCTATATATTTTTTTTCACTGCCAAGTGACAGGTAAATCATGAAATAAAAAAAAAAACACTAATTGAATGTTAATCATAATCATCCTTTATCCCCTAGTCTTGAACATCTTTTTTGCCTTTATCAGCAATCAGTGCCCCAAAGACTTCAGCTACTACCAGACATTTGTTGGCAAAGGAATAGGTACGCTAGCAAAAAATATTTTCTAATTAAGATTGTTTGGGTACTGCTGGGTTCATGAAAAGCTTTACATAATATAGCTCTTTACATGGCATTAACTCATAAATAGCAGAACTACTTACCTTTCACGAGACCTAGATCTTGAGTGACTTCTGCCTCTTGATGACTTTCTTTCTTTGCGTTTATGTCTGTCCTCTCCATTTTCAGATGAATTTAGTCGCTCTCTTCCTTTATCAGAAGAATGTTCTTTGTCATTATGTTCCTCAGACTTGTGTTTCTTGGATGATTTATCTTTGGATTCATGTCTTCTTGCCTGTTTTAAGAAGAAGTTGGTTCTTTCAGGAAAATAGTGCAACAAAGAGAGTTAGTATGGGTATCAGTAGACAAAAATGTTGTGATGCAACATTAGTAACCTTAGGAGTGTGTGGCAAATAAAAAAAATGATCTAGTTTCACATCACCCAATGTTGCAGATGAATATTACTAATCTTATTGTCTTTATAAATCCCCCAAATGCAGTTTCCTCCCCATATTAATTAAAACAATGATTTTCAATGTTGAAATAATATTGAAAAAGCCATTATTATCAGAAAAAAAGAGGAATCCCTGATGTTTCTTTTATCTAAAGGAGTAAGGGAAGTACACATGTATCAAAACTTTCAAAAACTTCCAACAGACCTTTTAGAGAAACAGATCACGTATACATATACACATCAACTTCTATAACCAGAGTACATATTATTTTAGGTTTAAAAACTTAACGAGTGAAGATGATCAGGACACAAAGAAATGCACCAGAAAACGCATTTCAATTAGGTTGCTAAATAAAATTAATCTTACTAAGTATTAGTATTTTCTGCAATTTTAAATTACTTTACGCAGAGCTGAAGTGTCCTTTTTATAACTATACTGCCACATCCTCTCTAAAAGACGGTTCTTGATCTTTCTCCCAATGTCTAAACTGTGAGAGGCAATCACTTTTCATCTTGCAATATCCCAACGGGCAGACGTTCTATTACATTTCATGTACCTAGGGTAGAAAATGGCAACCGTATCTGTTTTAATTTTTATGAAATCAAACTAGGCACAACATAATTAATCCCTATACCATTATACAATACATACTTCCCCCATACTCTGAAAGATAAAAAACAAGGTTTCTGCTTTCACAACATATGCAGAGACTGAGCTAAAATTAATTGCATGATCAAGTCTCCATCCTACTCTCACATACCAAATTAGGAAGTGATAAACATTAGATCTCCTCACATTAAGTTGTCAAATACATCTTTTAGCTAAGGCTTAAAAACCTGGACATCTCAGAATCACAATTTCAAAGCTGGAAGGAAACTCAGATCCTCTAAACTTCCCTTACTTTAAGTACAACTAAACGAAGATCTAAAGTCACAAAGCTACATGGTAGCAGCTGAACCCAGACCCCAAGTTGTTCTTACGCCCAGGCCTCTGCTTTTCTACCACAACAGAACACTTAATTCATGTTTCCCAAAAGGCCATTGCATTTTTCTTTCCACTCAAGATTAACTTTGCTTAAAAACAGAAACTTGGCCAAACATTTTGGAACATGCATGATATATCTGAAAAGAATCATAGTATGTTATTTAATACTTTGCAGAAAAATAAGAGACCTGGAGACACAGCTAAATTTTAGTTTCATTGCCAGTTCTCTGTAAGATGAGCTTATAAAAGTATTTCCTTGATTTTGCCATATAGTGGCAAACTGGAAAAGCTTTAAGTGGTTCAACTGCCAAAAGTTTTAGAGTTTATTTCAAACCAGTTTTCCAAACATAACATTACTATTAATTAAAAAAAAAAAAGACATTAAAACCCTTAACTGATTTAAGATATACTTAAGGGAAATAGGAGTTTGAATGACTAATAGTTACCTTATCATGAAGTAGGCTTATTATTTTGCTATCTGAGTCTGCAGCGTCTTCAGTTCAGTCTCTTCGCGCATTAGCACGCTGAGTATGATTTATTATAGAAATGTTATCATGTGAGCTAAACAAAATAGTCATTTTCACAAAAACTCTCCTAAATTAAAAATTTAACAGAGCTTCCATTAGGGGAAGAGGTGAAGTCCCTGCCCACATTTTTTTAGGAGTCCCTTGCCCAGCCCCCACAAGACTCTTCTCCTCCCTTTTTGGCTCCTACTTCTGTTCTTCCTTGTTGGCTCATTCCTTGTCTTCTCAGGTGGGCGAGCAAGTTAACTCCTGCTTTTCTTTCACACAGTTGCTTTCTTTTTCCTCAAGTTTTGCTGTCACCGCCACCTTTCCAGCTGTCCCTCACAGATACTTTTATTTCCAAATTCAATACTATTCTTAGGGAAACTGAGCTGGTTTGCTAATGAGAAGAGGACTCTCGTTATCTTCCATAAAGAAAAAGTCCAGATATCTACGATATTGCTACTTAAAAATGATTGCTATATGAAAATCCTGAGCAGTTGTCAGGTATAAGGAGACTCGGGACCTCAGATTAATGGAAGCTCTGTGTGACAGGCCTAAAAAAACCAATTATAATCTTCATATGAAATTTTTATTGTGAATATTTTCACAACATAACAAAATTAATAGTTTTTGAATGAACTTTTCATATAAACAACTATCTTCTTGAAAAATGATGAATCCATATCATGCTTATTTTATAACCCAATTAACCTTTTAAATTTCAAGTTTTGGTACTTACCTTGATAATATCATATATTCACACAAACATTTCTACCAGATACTTTACAAGAATTTTAAAGTGCCTATTCACTACAAAGTGTTAATTACCTCTTTGCTTCTGCTCCGGCTCCTGTGTTTTCTTCCTTCATTATCTGTAAATACATACAAAAATTCACCATAAACAAGATACAGAAACATCTTAAACACAAATCCCAATACTCAAATAAAAGACAATTTCCAATCCATTTTACTAAATTAAAATTCTACTTACTATCTTCTAAAGACTCTTTTTTTGGCAGGGTGGTATTATTCTACTTAATACCACTGCATATATTTGAAACAAATCAAGCAATCTGAAAACCAGAATGTAACTGAGTGTAAGCAAAACAAACAAAAAACCCCAAAAAATCCTCCATGACAAATCAAAAACATACATACTTTCAGTTTGTCACAGATTCTTAATTCACAAAACATTGTGTCTAGCCCATTTTGCTTTGCACTGCATAAAAAATTTATAAAGGGGCTTATTAGAGGTAAATAAGAACAAAACAAGAATGCATGGAATAAACAGTCTGAACTGTATTTAGCATAAGTAGTCAACAGGGTGCTATAGTTTAGAAATTTCTATTCAAAAGTGATTTTATACTGTACAGTTTCAAATACATAAAATTAAATTTTAACTACTTTACAGATGATTATCTGTAGGCATAAAGCATAAATAACTGGAGCCCAGGTCTTAAAAAAAAAACAAAAAAAACTCTTTTAACTCATTAGTATTCTACTTCTCACTTAACCTCTTCATTAAATCGCAATACTAATTTAAAAAGTATACAGCAAAACATCCTACTTTCTATACCACATCAGTTCTTTTTCAAGTAAACCAGTAAGAAATCTCAAAACGCCAAAACCTCTCGCTTCAGAAATATTTTAACATTAAGTTAAATGAAAAACAAGGTTAAAAATGGTCTTGTAACTTACATCAAAAAGCACGTTAAGTAAGCTCAGAATAATATACCACTGCCCAGACACAGCTTTCAAAACATTTTACCAATGTTTACAGACTGAAATTTAAACATCTCAGGGTTAACAAATAATTACTGTAACACAAACTTAAACATATATTTTGGCCTTTGGCCAAGTCCTAAAATTTCTGCATGAGGACATTTTTCTCATAACTGAAAAAATCTCCAGAAAATTACCAATGTACTTTCATTATTCATTTCTCAACTGGGAAGAACACGTATTAATTATATCAAAAACTAAATCTATGTCTTATACACACATCTACACGGATAGTGATGATTACAGTTTCCAACAATTCATACCTGACTTTCGTTTTCTTTCTCTTGACCTTGATCGTGATCTTGAATAATGATGTTTTGAGGCTCTAGGAGAAATAGATACATCTGACTGCTCTTTTTTCTTATCTCTATCTGGGGATGTCTTTTCTGGGGCTAGTCCATCTCGCTCTGTATCACTAGCCTAAAAGTTTAAAGAGAAATGATTATTAAGTTCTTAATTACATTTAAAATGTTTCTAATTTCTTAAAAGAGAAGGAGGAAAGAGAATCATCCTGGAACTTTACAAAATTAAAAAAAAAATCAATAAATGAGAATGGCCAATTTCTAAGTAGCTAATTATTTGTACCTGATAAATAAGCCCAAATAAATTGAAATGAGACTAACTCAGTAACAAAGAGACATATGTAATTAGGCTGATGTCTTTAATTTTTAAAAATCATTATTTTAATAGCTTTCAAAACAATGGGGGAAGGGGAAGAGTAGGAATTTCAAGTATCTCCAATAAACATTCAAGCAGAGAAAATGCTGTCCATTTTAGATTTGCGAAGTCATTTACCTGACTTTACCAATACTTTTATTTTAAATTAGCATACATTAAAAAGCCATTTAAAATGAATAAAATTTAAAGAGACTTAAGTCTGTAAAATCTAAGAACAGCACAGAATGCTTCTAGATTATAAAAGAATAAGCAAAATTAACTTACCTATCTGAGAACCCAATCTTAATTTCATTAACCCTCTTTAATGAAAACAGCCCCTTGGCACAGTGCTGCTGCAAAATATGGTCTGCCTCTCCTCACATATGCTCTGGGCTATGGAAACATTAAGTCGTTTCTGCTTTAAAGCATTTTATAAATTTTGACAATGCAAATTTTGTAAAAAATAATCAAGTATACACACTCTTTCCCAAAAGTCCTGATTTACTTAAAAGGAGGTTCCTTCATCTAAGTATCAGTTCACTGTTTTCCCATTTACTTGCTCATAACTGAGTACTCAGCACAGCAATCAATCAACAATTGAAGAAATGAATTCCTGTTATTAGTTTTCAATTAAAAAAGAGAAGTATTTCTGTGGCTCTGTGGAACGGTGTGGTCCAAATTACAAACGAGTATCACAAAGAAAGACACTGATTTAAATGAATCACAGAAAAAAGCTTTGAAAAGCTAAAACTTGAAAGTTTCCAAGTCAGATTTTGATAAAAGGTAGGGGAAATAGTTTCAGTAGTATGTGGAAGGTAGACTACTTGGCCCCCGACCTAAGAAAGGTTTTCACATTTTTGAAAGGATTATTAAACAAGGAATGGGACAGAGACTATATGTGATCCACAATGCCTAAAATATTTATTACCATGCTGTTTACCAAAAATTCTGGATTGGATAAATACGGATTTTCAGGAGAAATAATATGACAACAAACTCCTTAAGAAAATCACTCCAGAAAACAAATGCCAAGGGAACTAAATAGGGAGTAATTTAACAAATGAAGTGTGAAGAGATTACATCACTTCAGCAACTATTTACTTAGAGTCACAAATGTGCAAAACTCAATGCTAGACTCAAAAACTGATTATAGAAGAGATTTACACACTTAGCTAGGATGAAAGACATAAATGTTAAACCTCTAACAATGGTAAAAAAATAAAACAACCAAGCACAAAGGAAGCAACTAATTACCGGAGAGACTCTCTTGTGACCACACATTCCTTCTCCAGTTTTCTATGTATGGGTGATTTCTGGAATCATAAAATTTTTGTGATGAAAGTTTTCATCACAGAAACAAGTTCAACTTTTTGATCTTACAAAGGAGATCCAGCAACATTATCTGCCTCTCCCAGGATGGTACTCTAGCTCTCTGCTGTCTACTATCAACTAAACGATGCTGTATCACACACAATTAAGGATAATTAAGATTTTCACAACACTGGTCATTTTAATTCTTGTTCTCATCATTATCATTATTATGAACTACTTCACATGTCTGTGATGTTGTGAAGTGCTGGTAGAGCTTACATTTGGTAAAATAAAATTACAAAAACTTAAGCACTGCTATCACTTCTCGCAGTGCATGCGACTTCTCTGCCAAAACGAGCATTCCCGAACCACTGGCACATCTCATTCACTTTTCCATAGATCATGATGAGAACTGAAAACAACCTTCCATGGAAAAAGCATCTGGACCAGGCAGTACAAGTTTTCAGTCAATGGTTTATTTACATGCTTAACATCGCAGAAGCCTGGCATTAGGGAAGTTAAATGCCCTTTGCTTAAAGGCAGGCACCCTGCGATACAAGATAATAACTTACACCAAACAGCCATTTTCACCTGTAAAATATACTATAGAAAAAAAAAGCATCCTATCACTAAACAGACTACGAATGATAGGTGGCCACTTCTCCCATACAAAACTTTTATTCCCATAAGGCTATTTTATTGTGGTATAATGAAAATTATCCAAAAAATCAATTGAATAAAATTTCTCTGAAAATTTCTAAGCTTTATTTCGATTTATCAGGGATGTACATACTAACTCTTAAATGCTAACTGCAAAACTGTCTTCTACTCCAGCACCTGCTTTTTTAGGCCACCACTGTTAACATTTACATCTTGCTTAAAACCCTAATAATTCTCAAGACATAGTACACACATCTTTTTCCAGTGCAAAGAAGGTACACTGGATTTAGTACTAGGCCACTTCTCCAGGGGACTGTGTCTTTTTACTGAAGGAGGTATTGAAGGACCAAATGTTTGAACTGACTTCATTTTTTTTAAATATTTGAGCCCAAGTAAAACGCTATTCTTTAAAGTACATTAAAAGGCCCAAAACACCATTTAAACAAAGGAAAACATTACATCGATTAGTTGCACAAACACCAAATAGCCTTCCAACTGTTTGAAACCTGATACAAAATCAGTTCTCAATTCAATCAGGTATCGGGGGAGGGGAGTGCAGAAACCATCCTAATTCCAGATACCCCAATTTTTAGCAAGGGCAAACTACAAATTTTTCGGTATATTTGTAGTCTTATTTTTGAAGGTAAGTAAATAGAACTTTCTAGTCAGTGGAAAGGAATACAAGATGCTTGAATTTCTCTTTTAACACGGTTAAGAAAAATGAAGTAATCACAAAATGTGATCCACCAGAATTGGGCATCTTATACCCAGAGCAGGCTTCTTAAAGAACTATAGTTCTTATTTAAAATTAAATGGGTCAACGAAGGGTTCTTAAATAAAAAAAAAAAAAACGCCAACGAGAAGGCTTTATTTTAATGCTTCTAAAAGACTTCAAAAACGATTACATCACGAGCCGCTTCGGAAATGGAACGATAATCGGAATTCGTAGTTCCAAAACCTTCTCGTAATTAAGTCGATTTTTTTACTCCCTTTGAGCAAGCAACACCTTCCTCAGCTCCGTACTAACGATTAAACTAAGGTTTTCACAGACAAAACACTAACTAAAATTATGCAACCAGAATTTTACTGAGCGTAAGCAAAAACACAACAAAACAAAAAAACGTTACGATTCTCTTCTCCCATTCTACCCCTTACAGACAACGCCTTTCTGACCCAACACTTTTCAAGGCCCCCATCCCTTTTTTCTCTTCCCCAGCCCTACCCCAACGCAAACATAAATTCCCAAGCCCTAATGAAACTCAATAAAAACGACTAGTAAGAATGAGTAAGCTAAACTGGAAGCCGGTCTGTGGGCCGAACGGAATACGGGACTAGGAAAGAGATGAGGAAAGTTCTGGAAAAAAAAAAAAAGACACTCCCTGCGGCTCCCCACCCCCACCGACACCGCCTCATTTCCCCCTCCCTAAAGCAGGCAGCCATGATGGCGGGCGCAGAAGAAGGCCGCGGCGCCATTTTGTCCACACACACGCGCGGACAACAGCTCTGAGAGCCGTTCACCCACTCTTTGGAGAGTAGCACAAAAATATCCCTGGTTTTAAACTCAGAGTCGGCACCTACCGCCATAGTCCACAGTCCTAGCCGCTAGGGCGGCGCCTCCACTTGCCGCTCTCAACAGTACCGGCCGCCCCGACGCTTCGCCACAGACTAAATCGCTCGCGCGAGAGACCCGGATGGCACAAAGGGGATGAGGCCCGGCGCGTCGCACGGCTTGCTGGGAGAAAAAAAGGTGGTGATAAGAGTCTCTATAGCAACGCGATTCGAGGAGGTGATTGGTTGTTCTTTTGAAGGGGGCGTGTAAAGCCAGGGAGGAGGGCGGGGCCAAGAATACACCCTAGATTGCGTAGCCTAGAAATCTGAATGGGTGGAATTTAGGGTGGGGCGACTTCCTATTTCGATTGTAAAGCAATTTTGACCTCCTCCGGCCGCCGTAAAGGGGGTTGGGCTTGGTATTCTCCCGCCAATTTAAACCCGTGGGCTAGACCCTGAAGAGATTAGGGACAGTTGTAGGTGGCAGGAAGAGGGGCGATAAATTTGAGTGTTCTTCTTTAGTTTCTTCAGTTGCAGGTGAGGAGGGGGAAACGCGTTGCTGTAGAGACCTGGGGGTGGGTTCAGGTCGAAGTAACAGCGGCCTCAGCTCAATTCGTGTGTTTTCCCATCAAGACGCTGGCGGGAGAGAGTTTGAAGTCGGTTCTTGCTGGTCCGTTGTCCTGCCGGGAGCGTTTGTGCATGGGGGCCTTACTGACACTTTCATTTCGTTTAATTCGCTAATAGGTTCTCCACCCAGCAGCGCGACTGATCTCAAATCGTTAATCAGATCGTGTCATTCGTCTCCTTAGTGTCTTTACCGAGCATAAAAACCCAATCTTGAAGTCGAGGATTCGTTTAGCTTCTGCACTGTTCCATTTTTGCTGTGGCCCGGCTGCCGCCCCGGACTCGTTCCAGCCTCTGAGCCTTTGCACTCGGCCTGCATCTCTGTTCTCTCCGAGCTTTGCAGAGTTGGCTTCTTGCTCTTGGGATCTCAGCTCTGATGTCCTCTCTTTCCTTTACCTAACAGGTTCTTCTTAGGTGACCCCCCCACCCCACCCAGCATCGTTTAGTTCAAAACCTTTGGCACTGTTTGTATTGTGCACGTATTTATTTATTTTTGTAGGGAGGCAGTATAACAGTTAATAGGCGTGAATTTGTGTCTTGTCTAACTACATCATTTACTCGCTTTAGGCCACCTTGGCCATTTATTTAATCCCTGGCTCTTATCTTTGCTGTAAAATGGATTGTTGTGCAGATTAAATGAGTAAAGCATTCAAAACTATCTTGCATACTCAATACATGTTAACTGTTTTATTTGTCCTTCGTAGACGACGAATATAAACTTCATAATGATTGCAGGCCTTTGCTGTCTTCCAGGCTGTATTCCAGCTCTAGAACAGTCCCTGACACAAAGGAGGCATCCATAAGCATTTGTTGAATGAGTGACTGTGACTGCCCTGGAAGGCTGATAATATTTCTCTATTTTTTTTCAGATGTGGGACACAGAGACCCATAAAAGTATTCACCCCAACCTGTCCCTCCTGTCTTAATCTCCTTCCAACTCCCACCCAAACACCAACCACTAGAACTATTGTCTGTTCTAACATGCTTTATTTTGTATCCTTGCTCACACTCTTGGTAAGAACTCTTTTCCTGTATTTAAAAATCTCCTATGACCATAGCCTAAATGTTACCTGCTTCCACCAATGAAAATAATAAATTATCTAACACTTAATATTGAGTGCTTGCCATGAACCAAGCATTGTTGCATGAGTATTTAAAACTCATAACCTGGGCGCCTGGGTGGCTCAGTTGCTTAAGCAACTGCCTTCGGCTCAGGTCATGATCCTGGAGTCCCTGGATCGAGTCCCGCATTGGGCTCCCTGCTCAGCGGGGAGTCTGCTTCTCCCTCTGACCCTCCCCCCTCTCGTGCTTTCTCTCTCATTCTCTCTCTCTCAAATAAAGGAATAAAATCTTTAAAAAAAAAATAAAACTCATAACCTTTGCAGGTACAACTATGTTCCTATTACAGAGAATTAATGAACAAGGATTACATTGCTTCCTCAAGGACAACTGGTTGTAAATGAAAAAGCACCTTCCCTGTGCTGTATGTTCCATAAAATTTAAAACATATTTCTGCTAGCGCTTATCAAAACAGTTGTAATTATTTGGTTGCTATTTCCCACCAGTGATTGATCAAGGGATTGTTTTTCATCTTAGTATTCTATTCCCACTCACAGCACACATAAAATGAGTTACATAAGTCTTTGCTGATGAGATGTTCAAGTGACTCTCCTAGGTTTACAGGTATACTCTTTGGTTTAGTCAGAAACAATCCAATTTTTCCCCTTTACCCTTATCATTTTCATTTACTGTATAATACTGGAAACATTAATGGACTTTTTCTAAAGTTCATTTGGAACCTTAACCATCCTAAGATATCCCAGATAGTCTGACTTTAGAGCTTCTGCTATTTATTGCTATACTGCTAAAAGGTTTATTTCAAATGAAAACTTGTTATAATTTCAAGCTAGGCACACAAAATACTGGAAGCTGTAGGATACATTGATGAGATCAGATTTGTCTGTGTTCCTAGATGGATATATTGTTCTCTGATGATGGTCATAGCTCTAGTTCCATTTATCTTATTGGTCTGAAGTATCTAGTGACTACAGAAATAACTCAAAAGTCTTGATTGATTGATGTGTGTGTGTTATATATGTGTGTGTGTGTGTGTTTATTAAACCTTTTCATTTTCCAAGGAACTGTATTTTTGCAGCAATATAATTTGTTCTCTAACTTTACGTGTTGTCACAGGGAAAGCAGTGGTTCCTGGCTGAGGAAAACAATCTCAGAAACATGTGGAATGAGATTGAACTGTTGACAAGTGATGATACAGGAAGTGGGTACCTAAGTGTTGGTTCAAGAAAAGAACACGGAACTGCTTTATATCAAGTTGATTTGCTAGCAAAGATCTCCTCTGAAAAGGTAATGATTATGGTACTGTTTTCATTTATAACACTTTTGCTGAGGGCTTAGTAAGCCCAGTAGTCACATGGTAGATGTTCTATAAATGCATATAGCATTTCTCAGGGAATCAAGGTTCATTCTCAGATTACTGGAAATTTCCATGTGAATTCTCCCTTCATTGTCTTAAGATCACTATTTCCGAAATTGAACATTTCAGAGCTCTTCTTGACATTTGGACAAATAGAATATAAATAAAGCGAAGCAGAGAATACCCACCACCAGCTTAGGAAATAAAACATTATCAATAGATTTGAAGCCCCTGGGGTCCCTTCCCAATCCCATGCTCCCCCTGTACTCCATCCCTGAGTTAAGCATTCTGCTGAGGTTGACATTTATCCTTTCCATGCATTTCATTCCACATACTAATTTTTTTTCTTTTAACAATAATTCTACCGGGGCGCCTGGGTGGCTCAGATGGTTAAGCGTCTGCCTTCAGCTTAGGTCATGATTCCAGGGTCCTGGGATTGAGCCCCGCATCAGGCTCCCTGCTCAGCGGGGGGCCTTTTTCTCCCCCTCCCTCTACTTCTCCCCCTGCTCATGTTCTCTCTCTCTGTATCTCTGTGTCTCGAATAAATAAATAAAAAAAAATCTTAAAAAAAAATAATTCTACCATTCTCAGTCCAGGCTTGAAACCTTATTTTTTGCATCCTGTAGAGAATATTATAGGTAGTTTTTTTATCTTACAGTTTCTTTTTCAGTAATTTGCTTCTGATAAAGTAATTTTTGTAAACAAAGGGTTTTTTTGTAAAGAAAGTACATCTGATTTTTATTCACAGTATTATAGCCCAGGATCCCTTCCCTTCCCTTAGTAAGTCAATACAATATTTAATCCTCTCGTTAAGAAAAAAAGGTTTAAATAAAAAGAAGAAAACTATTAGAGACAAAATTGTATCTTCTAGGGCTTCAAAGGAAGGGCCTCTTCTGGGGACCTTATTCATAAAGGACTTCAAATGTAGGCGTTTTGGCTTTTTTTTCAAGTGAGGTTCTATATGTATTCAGAGAAACTGGCTGATAGGATTTAAAAAAAAATATACCATTCTTTACACAGCTTGCATACTATTGTTTAACTATACTGCCTTTAGTAGACTATGAATCACAGAATTTGTAAATGTTCATTATGAGTAGTACAAATATATTATTTTCCTTGGTATTAAATTGTTTATTTGTTAAAAGCAAAAATTTTAGAGTATACTGAAAGTTCTGTAATGAGAAAGTAGCATTTATATTTTAGTATTATCAGGAGCCTCAAAACGTGGAAGTAGTCCAGGCCTTTCTTGAGCTCTGAGGACTCCTATTAAAAAATAATAGTATGTGTGTATTGAGCTTCAAATTCAGCTAGGATGGGGCGCCTGGGTGGCTCAGTCAGTTAAGCGTCCACCTTCGGCTCGGGTCAAGATCCCAGGGTCCTGGGATTGAGTCCCACATCGGGCTCCCTGCTTAGCAGGGACCCTGCTTCTCCCTTTGCCTCTGCCTCTCTCTCTCCGTCTCTCTCATGAATAAATAAATAAAATCTTTAAAAAAAACAAAAACAACAAATTCAGCTAGGAACTAAAATTTCATCTGTTATTAGCTTGGAGTATCTCTCATCACTCTATGTCCAAAACCCTATGCTAACCTCTTAGAATAGAAGGTAACCTGGCGGGGCGCCCGGGTGGCTCAGTCATTAAGCATCTGCCTTCGGATCAGGTCATGATCCCAGGGTCCTGGGATCGAGCCCTGCATCGGGCTCCCTGCTCCGCGGGAAGCCTGCTTCTCCCTCTCCCACTCTCCCTGCTTGTGTTCCCTCTCTCATTGTCTCTCTCTGTCAAATAAATAAATAAAATCTTAAAAAAAAAAATAGAAGATAACCTGGGGCGCCTGGGTGGCTCAGATTATTGGGCTTCTGCCTTTGGCTCAGGTCATGATCCCAGGATCCTAGGATCGAGCCCCGCATCAGACTCCCTGCTGAGCAAGGAGCCTGCTTCTCCCTCTCCCTCTGCCTGCTGCTCCCCCTGCTTGTACTTTCTCTCTAATAAAAAATAAATCTTAAAAAAAAAAAAAAAGAATATAAGGTAACCTGTTATCTCATCTTTTTAGGATCTTTCCTTAAAGTGAAGGAGACAGGACATCAGTGATAAAAACGACTTAGTTGTGCAAGTCAGTATATGCTAAATATCAAATGAATGGTACAGACAGTAAATGCAGTAAGAATTAAGAGGGAGGAGAGTTTGTTGTGGGTGGGGACAGTTTAAGGAGCATTTCATAAAGAAATTAGCACTTGGGCCTTAAGGAAAAGGGAAAATGGAAACACAACTTATCAAAATTGTGAAGTGCAGCAAAAGCTATGCTTACAGGAAAATTTATAACGTTGAATGTATATGTTAGAAAAGAAGGAAGATCTAAAATCAATAATCTAAGTTTCTTGCTTAGGAACCTAAAAAGTAAGGGCGAATGAAATCCACAGTAAGTAGAAAAAAGAATAAGAGAACAGAAATCAGTGAAATTGAAAACAGGAAATCAGTAGAGAAAATCAATGAAACCAAAAACTGTTTCTTTGAAAAGATCAATAAAATCTGTAATTCTCTAGCCAGGCTAACTAAGAAAAAAAGAGAGAACACAAATTACTAGTATCAGAAATGAAAGAGGGGACATCACTACAGACCCTGTGGACATTGAAAGAATAATCAAGGAATACTAAGAGCAGCTCTGTGCCCACAAATTTGGTAACCTAATGAAATGGACCACGTCCTTGAAAGACATAATCTTCCAAAACTCACACAAGAAGAAATAGACAGTCTGAATAGGCCTCTACCTATCAAAGAAATTGTATCAGTAATTAATAACCTTCCAAAACAGAAAGAACCAGTCCCA